CGGGTGACGAAGCTGCGGCTGGCCGTGCGTGTGGTGGTGAACGTGGCCCGCGAGGTGCGGCGAGGCAGCAGCCGACGGCGGCGAGTGGCCACCACTACCAGGGGCCTGCTGCTGCTGCTGCGAGGTCGGCTGAATCGTCGAATCGTCGAGAGCGCCAGGGTTGGCGTCGTGTTGATGAAGCTCCTCCACATCGATGTCGTCCATGGCGAAGTTGATGGTTGGTCTCTGGAGTGAATGAATCCAACGGTCGGTTCGGAGTTATACTTGGTCGTCAGCGAATAACGTACCAATGGATTCGTTCCGAAGAAGAGCGTAGATGGATGAGTTCTTCCCGATCGAAAGGGCGTTGGCGTGCCTTTGGAGAAAGTATAATTAGGGCTGTAATTAAATAATTATATAATTTAATTGACGGTCAAATAACAAGGGCATAATGAAGGGCGCTGCACGAGTACCCTCCGATTGTCGTGGTGATGAAGACGCGAAATGAAACGTTAAGACAAAATGAAGGGCGAGAAAACGGACACGCTTCGCGCCGATCGTTCTCCACTCCGATTCGCTATTCAAATCGAAATTTCGATCTGTGTAACTCCCATTGGATTTGAAGCAAAAGCATTTCTCTTCCTTTTCCCTCCTTCCCTCTTTCCTTCTGTCTCTGCAGCACGCTCTGTGGTGGCTTTTGTAGGGTGGGAGTCTCTTCTGCGGGTGAGTGTTGCAAGAGAGCGGGAACTGCTAGTGAACCTGCAATCAAAGGCCTGGGGAACTGACCGATCATTAATGGCAATGGTTAATGAAGTGGTGTGCTGCTTCACCAATCCTAGAGCTAATTGGCTAATTGGCGCTGGCAACAATAGTGGGCTGGTTGTTGTGGCCGTGGTCAGAGGGAGACGAGAGAGCCTCACACGAGCTGCACGTAGTTGGCCGGGATGAGACCGCGTCTGCCGTTAGATTCAGCCTCCCACCAGTCGCCCGATTGCTTGTGGATGGTGAGCATCTCGCCCGGGTTGAAGCTAAGCTCCTGCGGACCGCCCGCCTGGAACGGGTAGAGGGCTCGCGCCTGTGGCTGTCGCACGACCGCCGGCGGGTTCGACGGCCGGCCGGGCACACCGAGGCGAGGGCCAGGCGTGGGCAGGGACCGGCCGCTGGGTGCTGCCTGCGGGGCGCCATAGCCGCCGGGCGCGTTGTTGTGTTGCGGCGGTGCGCCGCCATAGCCGCCGCCGGGTGCGTTGTTGTGCTGCGGCGGTGCGCCGCCGTAGCCGCCGCCGGGTGCGTTGTTGTTCTGGGGAGGTGCGCCGCCGTAGCCGCCGGGCGCGGGGTGTGCCTGGGGAGCAGGCGAGCGGCCACCGTAGAGGCCGCCACCAGAGGAGGGTGGAGGCGTGTTGAGCGGCACAGCCGTGTTTGTGTTGTAGGCCTGGTAGGTCGAGGTGGCAGCTTCGATGTCGCCGTCGTCCTTGGAGAAGACCTTCTTGCTCGCGGCGCTGTTTTCAGTGATGACGCGTGGGTGCCTGTGCACGGCCGTGCGGTCGATGTGCGACAGCTGGTTGGCCACGTCAGAAAACAGGTTGTAGGCCGTCGTGTAGTACATCGTCTGAGCCGCAATGAGCTGGAGAACAAAGAAGGAAGACGATCAGAGAGGACACAACTATCGACCAGAATGAGGCCATAGGCGTACGGTGGCGAAACAGGGATCGAAGAAATTGAGTCGATCGGCGTAGAGGAGGGGGATGTCACGCAGGAGCTCAGTGTTAAGCTCTTCGAACGCCGCCTTGGCCAGGGCATAGTTGCGTTGCGCCTGTATGATGGGAAAATGTATCAAAATTCGGCCTGATTCGATGTACGCGATGGGCAGTACCTTAGGAAGCTTGTCGGGGTGCTTTTCGGGAGGATGAAGTGTGAGATCGCGCACCTCAGCCTTGAAGCGATCCATATCGACACGGCGACGGTTCCTCTCCTTGCATCGCACAATAATTTCGTTGTACTGGCCGATGTAGGCTGTCATCGGCACGATGATGTCGGCATCAACCGCATCTTCCTACGGGCCAGGCATGTTCTGTGAGCAGCTCCATAAATGAATACAAATTAAAAAGTAATGGAAAAGTAAACGCACCAGATTCTGTCTTGCAGAGTCCACGTCGAAAATGATTTGCTGATTCTTCAAGTTGACCTGATACAGAGCATTGGTAGGTTCGTAGAAGGTAGCAACGCCCTCACCCAGGACAGTGTGGGACGTGCTGATCACTGTTGAGGAAGGAGTCAAAAGACCTGACAGTTTTTATGGCGAGATTGAGGGTGAAGGCAGACGTACCGCGCAAGGCCTTTCCGTACTCCTTGAGGTTCTTGATCATACGCTTCATCATCTTCTTTTGCGACAAGAGCTTGTCGTGTTCCTGATTGAAAGCGATATCGACAGTCTCATCTGCCTTTCCCATTTTCTGAAGCACCTTCTGCTTCGTACGGCCAGCCACACTCTTCAGGCCCCCGATACTGAACGTGGGCTTCGAGCTCATTCCCTACGATCTCTTCTTTGATGTTTGTTTGTTTGAATGATTGATTGAACCAACCTTCCCTTCCCTCTTCCCACAAACGGCGCATGGACACAAATATGGAAAACGCCACCAGCACAGGCCTTCCCTGAGCCCGCCACAGCAAAAGAGTGTTGTTTGGCAGTGGCCGCTTCGTGGGACCAACGTGTGATCACCAAGCCCAGCTCAAGGAATGGGGGTGTTGGCGCCGCGTGTTGTCTGTTGGTCACCTTGGTGCTTGACCGCAATACCTACGATTTATCCCGCCACCAGAGTTTGAGTTAATTTGCTGGCGGCAGTGCACCACGCAACAGGGCCAAAGAAGGAACACAACTACGGCACACAAAAGCTCCTCTCCACTGAAGCTGTTAGTTTTGAAAACAAACTTGAAGGAAGGAGAGCTCAACGTAGAAGCGCACGGACCTGAGGACTGTGTGGCTGGGTAGATCGAAGAAGGATGGCAACGCCAGGCGGGCATTACGACCTCATATCGCCTCGGTACCTGCCTAGACGAGCTGAAAACGAAGATGGAGCATCATCTGCTGCTTCGACTCGTTCAGCTCTGTCGATCCCCATCAACTCGGCTCCGAAACAGGGCAATATGGAAAAGAAAGAAGGCGAAGACAAGATGACGAAGACGTCGCTGCCAGGGGTGGACGAGTCAGGCGAGTTCGTGCTGGCCAACGAAATCGTACGAGCGTTAAGTGCAGGCGGGCTGGACAAGTACACCGAGGTCTTCACGCAGGAGGAAATCGACCTCGAGTCCTTCCTCATGCTCAACGACACCGACCTGCGCAACATGAACATCCCAACCGGTACGCTTTGCCCCCCCTCTCAAATCCCCTTTCCAGATTTTTCAAAGCATTTGTTTTATGCATCTCCTGCCAGCCTTTCGCTTTTTCGTTTTGTTTGTGATATTGGTGGTTACACATAAGCCCTGTACTCCTAAACGTGCACCTTTATCTGTGCAATAGTGACCCTGTGCCGGTGGTCACAATTATAATTATAATTATTTTAATTGTTATTATTATTAGCTCGCCAAGACTTCGTTCTTTTGGATCTGATCTAAAATTCAAATATATTTGTATCGCTTCGTTCTTTTTGGCGCAGGGCCACGGAAAAAGATATTGAAAAAGATTCAGCACCTTCGGGACAAGCACCCCAACCTCCTCTCCTCCTCGCCCGGCTCTCCCGCCGGCGGCTTCTACCTGCGCTCCCCGCCCTCCTCGCAGCCCTCCTCCCTCTCCTCGTCGTGCTCGCCGCCGTCTCCCGCCTTCTCCTCCACCTCCTCCGCGCGCAGCTCTCCCGCTTCGTCATCTTCTCCATCGCCCAGCGCCGCCTTGGCCACTGCAGTGGCGACAACGACAACAACCACGACGACCACGACGGGCTCCCTGTCCATCCCCGCCTCGACGCCTCCGCCCTCGCCGATCGTCTCGCCGCTGCTGCACTTCCCCGCACCATCGCACTACAGCGCCATCAACGACGACGACCTGCAGAAGGGGCGCAGCCTGAGTGTCGACAATCTGGGTCGACAGGAAATTGAACCGAGGGCTGCGCACCGGCGAGACCATGCCGGCGGCGGCGGGCATCCCATCAAGCGATTCATGAGCGATTCACCGACGACCACCCGCTTGCTCGGCTCAGCGCACCACGGCGCGATGCCCGCCACGACTCCGCCGCAGCCCAGGCGCGCGCCGAGTCCGGGCCAGATCGCATCATCAGCGACTGCAGTGGGATCGACGGGGCAGCAGCGCAAGCTCAGCCTCCCGCCGCCGAATCACGCCACGGCGCCGTATGACCGACCCGAGAACGACGCGATCGACCCAACGTCGGCCGGCAGCGCCTACGCGGGTCTGGGCTCTGCGCGCAATTCACCGGGCGGCGGTCGCCAGCGAGCGTTCGCGCTGAGCTACCTGCCCAAGGACTCGACGTCTGAATTCAACTCCGCGGAATCAAAAAAGAGCGAAAACGAAAGCGCGGCTAAGCAGCAACTGAACACGACGACAACGACGACAACGCCGACGCCCACGTTGGCGTCGACGGCCTCCTACTCGGCAGTGGAAGGCGGCAAAGCAAAGCAGCAGGGGGAGCCCGTGGTCGAGCTGAGGCTCTCCTCATCGCAGCCCAACCGCTCGTTCATGCCACGTGACCGGATCGAGAGTCGCATCCTGCGGGCCAAGTGGGAAATCGAGTTCGACGAGCTCGTGCTCGAGGAGAAGATCGGCTCCGGCAACTTTGGCATCGTGTGGCGGGTACGCGCGCCCTCGTTCCCCGAACGCTTGGTTGGCCGGTGCACTAATCTCTCACTCTCTTCTCTCTCCTATGCAATGTGCCTCCCGAAGGCCAAATGGCGGAACAGTCCGTGCGTGGTGAAGAGGCTCAAAGACAAGGCCATCCAGGAGAAGCTGCTCCAAGAGTTCCGAGAGGAGTCTCGCGTGTGGATGTACGTCCATGTTCTCTTCACGCCCTCCCACTCGTCTTCCTTAGCTAGTCTGGCAAACACTGACACTTTGAGTGCTCTCTCGGGCCATAGGAATATTCGTCCGCACGCCAACGTGGTGCAGTTCCTGGGCGCCAGCAGCAAGGTCCCCAATATTTGTATAGTAACCGAATACCTGCCACTCGGCGACGCGCGCCAGCTCGTCAAGAGCCAATCCATCCCGCTCAAGTCCAAACTCAATCTGCTTCTCGGCATTGCCGCTGGTACCCCTGCCACCACACTAATTTTTAGCTCCGATTTTTTAGCTCCGATTCTATTACATTCAAAGTGACATCGATGTTGTCTATGCGTTTACCCAGGCGTGTGCCACCTCCATAGGGAGGGTGTCGTGCACCGAGACCTGGCTTGCCGCAACGTGATGGTCACCAAGAACGTCAACGGCGAATACGACGCCAAAGTGGGAGGTACTCACTCACCTCTCCCCCGCCCTCCTCTGCCTACATCGATTTGCTCAACCCCTTCTCTGCAGACTTTGGGCTGTCGCGGCTGGGCCAGGAGGGCATCTACGCGTCGTCCACGGGAGAGGGGCCGCTCAAGTGGATGCCGCCCGAGGCCATCAATCCCCACCAACGAATCTTCTCCCTGAAGAGCGGTACGCACCAGAGCCTTGTCCCAGGGACGAGCAGCCAAGTCTGTTTCTCGGTCACTCACCCGGCGCTCAAATCGTTCGTTTGTCTGCAGACTCGTGGTCGTTTGGTGTGGTGGTGTGGGAGATCCTCATGGACGGCGCCGAGCCTTTCGGGAACGACGACGCAGTCACGGCAGGCCTGCGGATACTCAAGGGAGACCGGCTTCAGGTGCGCACATGCTTCTCTCTCTCTCTCTGTGTTTTCAGTTTTGAAGCCGCTGGACTCATCGTATGTCGGCGGTGATGGCGGTGGTGGTGGTGATCCAAGCTTCCCGCCCACACGCCGGCTCCATTGGCCGCGCTTGTGAGGGACTGCTGGCGCGAGAGCGATGAGCTGCGGCCCGACTTTGACGTCATCTGCCGCAGAATGCAGGACATCTGTAACTCCTACGTTGCCGACGCTCAGCAGCCATCGCCGCCGCCACAGGTCGAAGCCGTTCCCAAGCCCGAGCTCGGACCGAAGCCCTTCGGCAAGACCCTGGCCCAGCTCGAGGGCTCCAACAACGGCGCTCGCCGCGCCAACGAAATGGTCGAGCTCATGATCAAGAAGGGCATCATCACCGACTCCCCCGAGAAGAAGCAGCAGCCCGCGTGGAGCGGGGGCATGTACGACAAGATCGGAACGACAGCTGCCGTCGACTGCGGCGGCAGCTATGGGCGCATCAGCGAAAGCGTTGGCGGCAACAACGGGTCGTACGGCAGCATCTCTGCCAACAACCCGGCGGCCAGCACCGCGCATCCTCCGAGCGGTCTGCGCGACCCCAGGCGAGCCAGCTTCAACCTCGGGGCCGGCCGCGCTTCGCACCAGGTGCCAGCCGCCGCGGCCGTCGGCAACACAACCCTGGGTGCTGATGTCAGCGACGACGGCGGCGGCAGCGACAGCGCAGCGCTGAAGCGGAGCGACCCGACCAGCCCCGTGCGGCAGCGCCCCCGATCCGTGGCGCTCAGCGCCGACTGCCTTCCGGGCAATAACCCCGATTGGCGCTACCAGGCGCAGCAGGGCGGCGTGCAGCTGAGCGGCCGCATGAGCCTCCGTCTCAACAAGCAGCCGGCCATCGCCCAGTCAGACGGCCCGGCCTCGCAGCCTTCTGTTAACTGTGGTGAGGCGGACAAGCCGCCCACCGCCCGGAAGGCGTGGTTCGCCGTCGAGTCGGGCAAGAGCCGCGGCGACCGCGAGAGCACCGGGATCACGCTTGGCATGCTGGGCCAGCGCCGGTCGTCGCTCTCGCCCAGCTCCAGCTCGTACGACGGCGCTTTCGCGTTGCTGTGCGAGCGCGAGGTCTATCTCATCATCCACTACCTCGACGCCGCGTCGCTCCGCAATCTCTCGATGACCTCGCGGCAGTGGCGCCAGCTGTACGGCTCGCCGGCCCTGTGGCGCTTCCTCTTCAAGAAGCGCCAGCGCGCGACGGGCGTCGACGGCCTGGTCCTGCGGCGCCGACGACGGAGCACCCTGACCAAGAACGAGAGCGGCGAGATCGAGACCCGACGGCGCCGACAGAGCTACGAGGCCTCGGCCAGCCACGGCGTCCGCGACACCGAGCTGTTCGCCCACTTCGTCACCAAGCTCGCCACCCGAAGCCTGCAGTGGCCGCAGCAGCAGGCCGACGATGGGGCGGCCGCGCAGTCTACGCCGCTGGCGAGCGGCTTCAGCTGGCATCGGCTCTACGTGGCCTACTTCGAGCCCTGGAAGCTGCCCTCCACCACCGGCGCGCTCCTGGGCTTGGGCGACCCCATCACCCCGCGCGGCAGCAGCGGCAGTGGCGGAAGCGGTAGCGGGCGCAGTTCGCGGGAGCCGAGCATGCGCGAGCCCTCGGTTCCCTGCATCACGATCGGTCAGCGGACCGCCGACCCGCTCCCCTTCAAGATCGTACGTCGTCATACACATTCCTCACATATTCTTCCCTGAGTGCTCCTCGACGGGGATGCTGACCGCATGTCTGCAGGGAATGTATGGAATGGATGGCGTGGAGATCACGTCCCTCGTCACCTCGTTCGTCGAGCAGAGCCTGCCGCGCAGCCGTAGTGGCAGCGGAAGGTGCGCTACCACTGCCATCCACTGGGAAAGGGGGATTGCGCAAGGGCTAATGCCGGGTCATCAATGTCAACACACAGCCCGCGCAGGATGTACGTGGGAGGCGCCGCGTCCTCGTTTTCGATGGCCAAGTTGCTGAGCGAGACTGTGCTCCTCTCCAGCGCCCAAGCCGCGCTGGGACCCGTGACCACCGTCGGCCTCACCCAAACGCACGCCGTACAGACGCTCGGGTACCTGCACCCACGCCACGCCACACACAGCCTTTCAGAACCTAACCACCGCACACGCACCACCGCACACGCACGCGCGCACACAAACAGGGACGTGAATCCACGCGCGGCGAATCAGTCGCAGCAGGGCTCGTACAGGGTGGAGAGCGAGGTCGACGGCCTCCGATCGTTCTTCGACGTCAACCTGGCCACCTACGCCAAGGACAACTCGCGGTTCCAGAAGCTCGCCGACCGCGAGCTGTTCTGCCTGTGCTACGACCCGCACGACCTCCACTCGTTCTTCTTCGCCATCTCGCTCTTCTACGAACTCTTTGACGACGACTTCGACGCCGACGGCGGCCTGCGCATTCCGCCGCTGTTCCTGGTGGCACGGTCAACGATCACGACGCCTACCGCCCCGACCGCGTCATCGGACTGTACGACAGTGACGGTGCGCGAGGGCAAGATGCTGGCCTCGATCCTATGCTGCCCGTTCTACGCCCTCGCCGCCCCGGCCCACGGCATGACTGACGCCGAGAGCCTGCGTCTGCTCTTCCACTCCATGGCCCGCGAGGTGCGGCTCACGCGCGAGGGCTACGCCACGCGCTTCCGCAAGTCCGCCAGCCCCGGCGCCTCTTCGTCGTTGTCGTCGTCGACGGCGCAGTTGATGGCGAGCGGCAACCACTACGGCTCGCTGCTGCGGGAGAGCCAGAGCGGGCGCGTGATGGTGGTGAAGGACGACCTCTACATCGGGCAGGTGTCCGAGAAGACCCAGGAGCGGTGCGGCGTGGGCATCGCGTGGATGAAGGCCTCGCGCGAGCTCTACATGGGCGAGTGGCGCGACGACATGCCGCACGGGTGGGGCGTGCTCTACTCGCCGCGCGATGGTCGGCGTGTGTGGGCCGGCAGCTGGATGGCCGGACGCGCGCTCTCGTCGGCCGTAGACCTGGCGCTGGACGTGGCGCCCTCCTCACCGTCCAACAACCCACGACGCAGCAAGTGAAAGAGAGAAAGGGGCATTCGCACAACATCGATCGTGTTTCTTCTGGAACAGATGTACATGTATTATTTATTTCTAAATGTTGTATGTGTACACCGACCACCACTCAAACACGCACTGCCCACTGGCGGTGCGTCGCGACAACTACGACTAGGAGAACCGCCGCTGTGATGCCAGCACCGATCGCGACATCGCGAAGTAGGCCCGAGGGCTCCAGCGTAAGTGGCAGACGAGTGCGAGAGGTGGGAGGGCCTGAAGAAGAGACAAGAAAACAGAGGAGGCAACCAACGCATGCGGTTAAACAAGAACGTTTAGGTCAGTGGGCCTAAGGGGAAGCGTACTGATGCGAGGCTTGTGCAGGTAGCAGTGCTCGGACACGATACAGGCCAGCTGCCGATGCCCAGCCAGCGTGTCCCCGCTTCCACGAGCAAACACGAAGTTCAGGGGCGGCGAGAGCGGCAGCGGCAGCGGCAAGATGCACGAGTGGTAGTGGTAGTGGATCCTGCTGTTGGTAATCCACCGCCCAGCTGCAAGCTTCTTCGTCCCCGACCAGTTGGACTGTTGCTTCTCCTCGGACGAGTAGACCACAACCACGATCGTGCGGTGTCGGGTTTGCCACGAAAGCGTGACCTTCATTGCCTCTGCCTTGTGGAGAGCAGAGGGTGATAAGGCCAGGCAAGAGGTGTGAACGATAGAGCTCTGCGCACCTCTTCATCGAAGGGAACGAAGGGCATGACCATGTCGATGTGGATGCGCATCCACAGCTCGAGCCAGTAGATGGCCTGGGAGACCTTGGCCATTTGGGCCAAGGTCCAGGTGGATCGTTGGCTCTGCTCCATAACCCACCACACGAAGGGCTTTCGAGCAAACTTGTGTGCGGCCCACCCCGCGGGAAAGCCTGACGGCAGGGGAATGCGGGACACGCAAAGGCCCGAGAGCAGTTCACTTTGCCCCTCTTTGGCTCCCACAACCGCAATGTGGTAGAGATCTTTCAGGGTCAACAAGTCGCTGTCGTTGTTCATGTCGTAGAGGTTTTGTGATGCAACTACTCCCAGAGCCACCTTATGAGGCACGGGCGCACTCAATGTCACTCTCATTCGGCTTCATCTTCACGCAACCAAGTCAGTGTCACTGTCTGACAGTGCCTTGCTGCCACCTGATAAGATAACCACGAGAAAGAGGTTATTCCTTTTTAGTCCTGTTTCCTTTTCGGCGCTCAGGTGAAAATTCCGCTCTGTTTGCTTGTTTTTTGGGGACCAATGAATGGTGTGCCCAACCTGGTCGACAATTAACCAGTGCCACGCAAGCACACTCCCAAGTGCTTGTTATGAGGGTCGCGGACGTGGCGCTCCACCACCCGTTGTGCGAGTGACGACAGGTGCGAGTCACTTGGCACCAACTCACCACACAAAGCCGCTTCAGGCAAGGCAAGACCTCCATCACTATGAGCGTGCGTCGACGGACCTCCAGCAAGCCTCACGGAGAAGAAGAAGCCAAGCCGCCAAGATCAGATCTGCCGAGCCTGCGAGCCTCTCCCCCACAGATCACCAAGTCGACGGCGGCAGCCCGGGGTGGGTGCAGGCGGGCGTGCGCGATTGTGGCTTGGGCGGCTGTAGGAGCTCTAGTGTACCTGCTCGCATGGCCGCTGATCATGATGGTCGCCCGTCCTCCCATGCTCTCCGAGGCGGTGCAGCTGCGCAGCTTCGAGGTGCCCATGGTCGGGCTCCACCCGTCGCTCCACGGCCTCAAGATCGCCCACATCAGCGACCTCCATTTCAACGACAACAACTCAGTCGAGATGGGCACCTCCGACGACATACTCGAGCAGGCGGCGAGGATCATCGAGCGTGAGCAGGTCGATCTGGTGGTCCTGACGGGCGACTACGTGGATCACTGGCCCGAGGCGGCGCCTGCTCTCGGGGCCAGGTGGTTGCCACGGTTCAAGGGCCGGCACGGCGCCGTGGCTATTCTGGGCAACCACGACTACCAGAAGCCCCAGTCCCAGCGGCTCGTGCTCGACGCATTCGCGCGGGCCAACATCACAGTGCTAGTCAATGCGCGGGCCGAGCCCATCAACAAGTGGATCGAGGTGCTGGGCGTGGGCGACCTGTGGGAGGACTACCACCCGCACCGCGTCATGTACCCTCTGCCCCCTCCCCAGCCGGCCACCGCGGCCGAGAACGAAAGCGAAAGCGGAACCGGCCAGGGGGCGTATCGCAAGGCGCGGTTGGTGCTGACGCACAACCCGGACAGCGCGCCTTACCTTAGTCGCTGGGGCGCCGATCTCATGTTGGCGGGCCACGCCCATGGCGGGCAGTCCTGCCTGCCTCCGGGGCTGCGCCAGCTGTGGCCGCTCGTGAGCTATCTACCATTCGACTTGCGGCGCCGCATACCCGGCTCTCTGGCCCTCAACAATTGGGACCTCTCCTATGGCTGGATCGACCTACCGCGCCCACTGGTCCAGGGAGACGAGACCGCCCTGCCGCCCCTCGAGCCGACCACCATCCCGCTCTACGTCACCAGCGGACTCGACCGGATGCCGCCGAGGCTCCTGCTGTGCCACCCCGAGGTGGCCATCTTCACCCTCCGCCCCCACAAGCCCTGAAGGCCAGGGTGGTTGCAACAAAACACTATGTGAGCGTCATCAACAGAAATTGTTGTTCACCCTGTCATGTGAACACCACTGTATGTTGTATTTCGTGCGGTTACAACGACTTGTCCACTCAGCTGGGGCTGACGAGGGCACTCGAAAGCGAAGCACTTTGAGGCCTTCCAGAACGCGCTCTGTCCCTTCTTGGAGCCCACAAGACTAACGTGATAGCCCTCGCTCAGGTCGGTCATGTTGTAGGAGGGTGGGTTGTTGTCTCTGGTTCTAAGAAGCCAAGCCAGAAGTATATATATATGGCACTTGGAGAGTGCCACAAGCTGTCACTCAATGCCCCTGTCCATTGTCACCACATTTCCATTCACGCCAGCCCAGTTTTAGTTCTGTTTTGGGTGAAAGGGTGTTGCCTTTGGATGGAGTGTGGGCTCCCAAAAGGCGATGTGTTGGTCTACGACCACAATTTGTGCTCAATTCAATGCGTCCTGGTCGAAATGGCCTTACCCGGACTGGTAGGACAAGGTCACGAGCGACTGGAGGTCGCGGGTCCATACGTCGGCCCAGTCTGCTGGGCGCGCCCACTGGAGGCACCGCGTCTCCCGCTCACGGATGCCGGCCAGCTGCGGCGGCACCGGGAGGCTGTAGTCCGCATTGACCTTCCGCAAGACCTCCTCGACTGTGTCCACGAACTTGGCCGGGTGAGCCGTCGCCGCCACCACGATGGGCGCCTCCTCGCCCTGCCCACGCCCACCGCAAACACAACACGCCACCGATCAGTTCCGGTGCTCAGCGCTGAGCCGTGTGTTGCGTGTCGTGTGCTGTGTGCGGACCTGTTGGTGGGCCTTCTGGGCGGCCAGGAAGGCGATGGCCGTGTGCGGACAGAAGACGTAGTCGTAAATGCGATGGCTGAATTCGATGCCGGCCTTCACTTCTTGCTGTGTGGCCGACGCCGATCGATACAGAGCTCGTGCCTTGGCCATGAGCTCCTGCACGACACAGAGCAGCACTCGACTGAATGAGCTCAAGGCATAGGTGATCAGTTGTGAGTCGAAGTGGCGCAGTTTACCTCGTCAAATTTGACCTTCCCGTTCGGCGATTGCTCGAGGTGGGTCATCCACTCGCGGACCTTCTCCGCGTTCTCGCCCGAGAGGTAGTAGAGAAGCCTTTCGATATTGTACGGCACATTGATATCTGTGGCGCACCGCACATGACGCACACGACGCACACAGACGAGGACGAGAATGAGTGTAAGGCTGAGATGCTACATCCAGGGGGTAAGGCTTCGAGCTACCCATGGCGGGGCTAATGGTCTTAACCACGACGTCAGAGGGTGCCAACTCGCCTGTGGAGGGCAAGACCAAGCCAGGAGTGAGTGCGCGCCGCGTTTGCGTTAGTGGAGGTGAGAAGCGGAAAGGTGAGTGCGACACGAACCATGGGCAAAGAATCGGTGGAGGGTGTCATTGTCGTTGACGGCCGGGATGAAGTACTTGACGGGGAGGCCCATGCGCTTGGTCAGGTAGCCCGAGAAGCCGTTGCCGAAGCCGCCCGAGGGAATCGAGAACACGATTTCGCCTGCCCACACGCCAATACCAGGCTCCACAGTCAGCAGACTGGCGCACGGCGCGCCGGTGATCGGTCGCAGTGCAGAGGATGGGAGGGTGTACGGTCACACTCCGGGCAGACGCGGAGGTAGGCGTAGAAGAAATGGACGAGCTGCATCATGATGCGAGCCCAGTTGGGCGAATTGATGGTGCACACGCCGTACTTCTCCACGAACTCTGGGTCCGCAAACACGCCTGGTGCATTGGAGCATGCGGACCAAAGTGTGAGAAGAGACCGTCAACCAATGTCGTGCTGGCAGTGTGGACCTTTGACTGCCACATCGGCATCGTCAGAGGTGCCGTCCACGGCGATGGAGAACACATTCTTGTCGAGCACGGTCGTCATTTGACGTTCCTGTTGCACATGTGTAAACGTTGGCGGCTTGTGGTGATTGAGCGCGGCTCGCAGCGGGCGGCCCGTACCTGAAGTTCAGCTATCCTGCCTTGGCCGGGCAGCAGCACAAAGATGTTCATGTTCTGGCGGCCCTTCACGCAGTGGATGGCGGCACTCCCTGCAAGCACAATGTATGTGTCAGTGCTGTGTGTGCGCGTTTGGGCGTGGTGTCAACTGATCGCGCGTATGTAGCGTACCGGTGTCACCGCTGGTGGCGACGATGATGGAGAGCTTGCGCTGTCGCTTGCGTACGAGGTACTCGAACATGTGCCCGATGAACTGCAGCCCGAGGTCCTTGAATGCCAGCGTGGGACCGTGAAACAGCTCCGCAACATCAAACTCAAACCCGCTGCCAGCTTCAGTTGCGTGCCGAGGGGCGAGGTGCTTGATGGGTACAATCTCGTCATCTGTGAACTCCCCGAAGCAGGACTGGAGGAGCGCGCGAAGATCGGCTCGCGGCATCTCCTCTTCGTCAATGAAGAGCGCGAAGATTTCCTCACATAGTTGCGGAAAGGTGAGATTACGGGCGGCCCACTGGCGCAGGGTGCCGCGTTCGATGCAGGGAATCGTGGCTGGCACGATCATGCCACCGTCTGGCGCATACCCCCGCAGCACCGCCTCCTCAAAGGTCAGCACCTCGGACCCTCCCCGCGTACTCTTGAACTTCATCTCTTGTGTTGAGATGAGCGCATTGTTCAGAAGATGCAACTCCCGTTCCACTACCACCTTTGAAAAATTCGAAGAATGTTTGTATGTGCCTCCCGTGTAGACGACTTACACCACCTTGTGGTAGCCAGCTGTGGATGAAGAGGTTAGTCATGATCGTCTCGCATGAGCACGCACGGTGCAAGTGAGTTACGCATGTACCTTGATGGCCCTCGGCAGTAGTAGCCACGGCTGTGCTGCTGGTAGCCGGCGTGTTGGTGTCGACGAGTGCGGAATCGCTGCTGGCCTCAGTCTGCGTCGTGGCCTTGCTCTCATCGGTGGTAAGCGAGGCATCGATGTCGGCTACGAGGCTGGTGAGGAGCTGATCGACGAGTCGCTTGACCTCCTCGGGCGGAACGGCGGTGTTCGTTCGCTCCAGCGCACTGGCGAGCTCCTGCCGCCTGGCGTCGGCCGCCTGGTGGACCTGCGCCTGGCACACTCGCAGCGCGTGCTGGGCATCGTCGAGACGCGCGGTGGTGAGGCGCTTGTACTCCTTGTGCTCGCCCTGCTCGCGCATGATCTGGAAGAAGAGTGACGCCACGACCGTCATCATGAAGAGGTTGCCAGCGTTCGAGAACATGATGTCGAACAGCCGCTCGCGCCAGTCTTGCGTGAACGGGTTGGCGGCATCGTGCGAGTCGCGTTCTCCCCTGGCCGGCCGCTTTTTGTTGAAGAGCTTCTCGTAAACGCGATCAAATTGCTCATCGATCTGCTGTTGAGGCAGCTCAGATCGAGGTGGCGATGACTGGCCGGGATTGGGCTGTACGGGTTCGGCGTCGACCACATTATCTCGCGCTTGGCGATGAATTATCGTGCTAGATACGAAAAATCGACGAGTGCCGCTAGCCCTGACGGGCCACTTGCTCGCAAGAGAGGCGGAAAGAGAGCGGGCAGAAGGTGCGGAAAGCAGACTCGTGGCGCCTCGCGTGGGAAGAGGAGGCCCGGCAAGTAAGAAGCGAGCCGGTGCTGGTCGTGCCATTCGCCTCATCTTCAAATCGGAAAATAGATCTTTTCTTCTTCTTTCTTGTGGTGACGTGTAAAATGCTGACGTGGTCCCCGTGCGGCGCTACACAGAAGCCGGCAAAACTCGATTTGACAAACCCACACACGACGAGAGAAGATCAAGATGAGGCCCTCGCGGGCACCCCGAGAAAAGGACAGCGTCCCAATGGATCCACGCTTGCACGATCTTCATGAACCCCTGCACCATCATCTCAATCAGCATCTCCACCATTCATCGCCGGCATCTCCCATCATTTCGCCCCATGTGCCACTTTCGCCTGCAATGGCTGCCCGCTATGCAATGTTCCACAGCGACCCCAGTCCTCTTTCTTCTTCTACCTCCTTCGAACGCATCGAGTCATTGGGCGGGAGTAGCCATGCCATCAGGAGCGGCGATTTCATAGCGGCAGCCTCTTCATCTTCTCCTCTCGATGAGTCAATGTCGCCATCTTCCTCTTCGATCCTGCGCCGCGTCATCGTGTTGGGAGAGACCCACGCCAATCGCAGCTACTGCTCCAACAAGTTGCAAACGGCCAAGTATGAGACGACGTGGCAGCTGCTGGTCTACGGGCTCATCTCCTGCATCTTCTCCTCCGTGGCCAGTGTCTACTTCTTTACCGTTGGTCTCTTGCAGATCTTCACTCCATGGAGGTACTTCCACGACGCGCATCTCACTAGTGCTGGAGAGCTGGAGCTAATCCAGACCTAAGCCCGACGGGCAAGTTTGCCACGATGGGGCCGTATGCAGGCAACAAGGTGTTCGAAATGCTGTGCCTGTTTTGGTTCAACAAGAAGGACCAGATCAACGACAAAAGGATCAACTCGCGTAAGGTCAAAGTCGTAACCCGTGCTGGCATGGTGACTAAGGAACGAAAAGGTGCCTTGTCCCGCCCTCATGCATAAGCTGCGGCGTGGTCTAACTGGTCTCCTCCGTTACGTTGGTGGCGTGGACTAGACCTGATGGTGGGCGATCTCGTTCACATCGAAGAGTGCATAGGAACAACGGGCGAGGAGCGTGTGGAAGTGCCAGCAGATCTCCTTCTCATCTATTCTGATACAAGGAGCGTCTTCCTCGACATGTCGTCGCTCACCGGAGAAAAGGATTCCGTCCAGCGCAAGGTATGGGCTGCTCGTACTAGTTCATCGCACAAGGGATAGAAGCTGACGGGTCGCTCGTTTAGGTGCCTCTTGGACTCGAGATTGAGAGACCCGATAGCGATCCGTTGTACGGCGTCCTCTACGCGACGGAACCAAAGCCCGATCTCGAGCAGTTCAAGGGTACAGTTGATTTCAGACTCGGGATATGCATTGCACACGACCTTACCCGTTCCTTCTGTCTGCAGCCGAGTTGAGGATCGGCACCCGCAGGTATGACTGCACCTACGAGAATATGATCCTTGCAGGATCTTATCTGTTCAAGGGAAGGTGCGACTATCAACCGGCTCAATGGGCGAACCCCGATGTCGCCTGTGTTCTTACCTTCTCTTTTGCCAGAGACGTATACGGCATTGTAGTAGCCACCGGCAAGGACACGAAGATTCGCCTCAAGCAGAAACCCACCGGCAAGAAGTCCTGGTCGCTGCAGAACAGGTGAGCCTGCCCGAATGATTCGCTCATTGATCCATTCTTTGACTTCTCCCATTGACGTCCTCTTCTCTGGCCAGGCTCAACATCATCACGACAGTCACGCTCATCTTCCTGTTCAGCTTCATCTTGCTCGGCACTAGTGGCTACACGGCTAGCCACGAAGATGCACTCTTTTTCCAGGCTGTCGCGATGTACTTCCTCCTGTTCAATGGTACGTCGCCAATAACCCTCTACCTTGGCTGTGCGAAGTCTTGTTCCTGACACGCAATCGGTCCTTCTGTACACCACAGGTCTCATTGCCCAGACACTGCAGTTCACACTCGACGCTGTGCGAGGTATCCAAACGTTTGACGTTGACGCTGAAGTGAAGAACCCATGCGCCGTTGAACAGCTCGGACTCACTCAAGCCATCGTCTTTGACAAGGTATGCTACTTTCTCTGCTTCAGCAAGGCGCAGCCCGTGCCTACGTAGGACACTTGAGCTTATATTGCATCCTCTCACTGTGATATTTGAGACCGGCACGTTGACGCAAAATCAACTTGAACCGCAACTCCTGAGCGTGATGTACGATCGGGTGTACTCGGTACGCGTTGTGCTCAACTTTCGCGCTGGCTTTGTTGTGACCTGATCTAACTGATCTGTACTCACTCTCGCTCAAACTTTAATTGCGCTAGATTCACGACAAGCACTTGGGTGTCGCCAAGACCATCGAGGCCTCTCAGCGCACAGGTCAGCTGCGGGCGCTCCTGCTGAGCATTTGCCTCAACAACAGCGTCATGCGAGCCAAGGAGGGCCTATCCGGCAAGCCGCACTACTTTGGCACATCAGCCGATGAGGTTGCCATCCTGGAGAAGCTCTACAGCTCGGTGGGCTACTTCATCGTCTCGCGCAGCGTTACGGCCGAGGGTGAGGAGATGGAAGTGCACACGGAGCCCAATGACGACGTCGGCCGCACCTGGGAACTCCTCTACGTCTACAAGTACACCAGCGAGAGAGGCATGATGACGGTACAATGGTTCACCGTGTGCTGCAACAGTGACATGTTCTTTCTTACGCCTTTTGGGGTGCGCGTTGTAGGTGATGGTGAAGAACAAGGTCACAGGCGAAGTGTTCTTCCACAGTAAGGGCTCCCCCGAGAAGATGTACGGCTACCTCCGTGAGGACGACCGAGCAGAGGCCGAGCGGCGGGTCACTGAGCTGGCCAAGGATGGTCTACGTGTGCTGCTCTATGCCGCTGTTAAGCTCGACTGGCCGCGCATCGAGGAGCAGTTCACTGCTGCTTGGGCAACGCAGGAAGAGGACGGCGTCGCCATTCAGATCTTTATGTACATGCTCTCCTCTCGCTCTCCACGTGTCCGGCCTATTCTTACGGTTCTGTTGACAGGAGAGACCACCTAAAGGACTTGTACGCGCTCGGAGCGACAGGCACGGAAGATCAGCTGCAGCCTCGCCTGCTCGAAACTATTCAGAAGGTCCAGTCTGGCAACATCATCACCCTGGTGTGTACGGGCGACATCAAGATGACCGCAGAGATCATCGGCAGAAACTGCGGTATCCTTCCGGTCGGCCCAGGTATGCAGGCTCCAATGCGTAGCAATCTTTTCTTGGTCCGGCTTTCGCTCACCACCCACGTGTGTGTAGACGCCGAGGTGTTCGATGTACACCAGCACCCCGATTCTTCCCTCGAGATGCAGCTGGACGCTGCTCTCAAGTGCAGGAAATCTAAGGGTACATTGCTCAGCCTTTTAAGAGTAACAATCAGTAAGCACTAATACGAATTCTGTGTCAGGTTTGCTGGTGGGCAAGCAAGAGCTGATGGACATCCTCGAAGACAAGACCCTGTCCAGAGTCTTCATCAACCTCGTCAAAACCTGCAAGGGTGTTGTCACTTACAGGTTCAAACTCCTCTGCTTGTGTGGTTCGCAACTACTTGAGGATGAGGCGTTAACTGGTGTACTTTCTAGGGCTCACCCGAAGCTCAAGGCCCAGCTGACTCACTTCCTGATGAAGAACGGCCTCTTCACCTGCTCGGTTGGTGACGGCGCCAACGACATTGACATGATCAAGCAGGCCAACGTGGGGATCGGCATCAAGGATGGCGAGAACAGCCACGCGGCGGGAAGCAGCGACCTCGCCATCAAACGCGTGGGCGAACTTCCGAAGCTCATCTTCTACCACGGCAAGAAGAACTGGGAACGAAACACCAAGATGACCCATCTCATCACCTGCATGAAGATGACGGTCGTTCTCAGGTTTGCACTTCGCTCTTGCTGCTTATTTGCATACTGCGGTGAGGCTAAGCTAATCTACTTCCATGGTCGCACCAGTCTCCTGTTCTATGACTTCTTCTACGCGGGCTTCTCGGCGATGTCTCTCTTCACGGGGCGCATGCTCCTGGCGTACAACTTCTTCTACGGCTGGGCGACGGCTGTCTACGGCATCTTCCACCACTCCTATCGGAGCGTGCCCGAAGCCCTTGGTACACTTCCCCGCACTACGTGTATCGAAAAAGGACACGGTCACTCACATTGAATACCATCAGACAATCCTGCGAGGTGGCTCAACAAGCCGGGATTCAAGCTGCAGGCTCTTTCCATTTCTAGGAGCTTTCTGTGGTGGACGAAGGCCGCTCTCGACTCGCTCCTATGCCTCACCATCACAATGTGGTGGTGGCGCCCCTCGCCTGGCGTGGAAGATGGTACCGTGTTGGCCGAGTCAAGTCTAGTTTCGCTCGTCACCGGAATGACCTCTCTACTGTGCGTGATTAGGCGTTGTCGCACAAGTCCTGCCGCCCTACTTCATCTTTGGCGATAAGCTGGTGATGGCCGAGTTCTGCTGCTTCGTCGTGATCATGATCTGGGTCAACCTCAGGGTCTCGCTGGTAACAGGTGCGCCAACTGTGCCACCAACGCACACATTTATTGACAGTCCACTGAGCAAATGTTTCGGCCGAAATCAACCAGATCACCTGGCCGTTCACGCAGCCGTGGTGGCGACCCTGGTCACCTTCTTCGTCGCGGCCGTTCTTCCGGTTTGGCCGTACCTTGAGAGCGGGTACGTTCGGCCAACTGCTCGTTATGTTCGTTTCAACTGGCTAAGGTGGGAATGCGGTTTTATGATTTCATGAAATCATCTGTGACACAGATTCGTGCCGTTCGTGTTGATGATGGTGGTCATCTTCCTCGTCTACAACAAACTGCTGGACGTCGTGGTGCACACCATGCGGCATGTTATGCGCCGAGTGCAAGAGGACCGCGAGGTACGGACGCGCGAGGAGGACAAGCGACGCATCGAAGCCTTCGAGCGCGAGGTCGAGCGCATTGCCAAGGACCGTAGCGAAAAGCGCGAGAGCGCTTCCAAGCTCCGTCGCCGCCGCGTCAAGTCGTCTGATTCCAGGCACGCTCTCGACTCGCAGCACTCGGTGTCCTCCCCGAACCTGCCCACCTATTCCTCCATCGCACCAGTTCCCTCTTTGCTCCGGTCGCCGGCTCCCGCGATCGCCGTCACCTCGCCCTCCTCTCCCAGGGCCTCTTCTTCATCCAGCTATTCCACTTCACCCTCTTCTTCTTCTTCGTCCTCAACATCCAGCCGTCGCACCCCCAAGCCATCGATTCTGGGCGAGAGCACCGGGCGAAGCATCCACGACCAGCTTCAGCAGCCGTCTAGAGATTGGAAACGGAACAGCTCGTCCGCAGTCTACACCAAGCGGCATCAGTCCTCCGAGGAGGAGGTGCCGAGCCCGCGCGGCCATCACCAGCTGCACCACCACCATGCGGGCCTCCTGGCCAGCGCCTCGTCGAGCAGGTCGGGCACTGCCGGCGGGTCGTCCTCATCGGCGAGCACGAGCCCTAGCTCGGCGAGGTCTTCGCCCCGCGGCCACCGGGACGCAAACTAGCTGCCTGGGCCGTGAGATCGTTGCATAACAAATTAAATCTGATGTTACATAACACGTACACTTTTGGATCAACTGCAACCGATCGTTGCCTGGTTAAATACCTAGGTAACGTCGCTTTAGATATACGAGCGTTGAAAACGCGCTCGTTGCGGAGCGACGTGGTATCCGGGTGTGCGGTTTTGGAGAATATCGGTGCTGTACGTTATTTGAATATTTAAATAAATAAATAATATTGTGGTTGGTGGGACCAACCGCTATTCACAAAGCAGCGGCGCCGTTCTGCTCTCACTGGCGGTTGTTCCACGCCTGGGGGCTGGGGTAGTGGTGTCCTGGCTCAGCGTAGCTGATGCTCGTCTGCTGCCGGCGGTGGCCACCGGCGTGCTGCATGCCACCGCCGGACTGCGGCTGAGCGGAGAGCGATGGCGACGAAGGTGGCGAGTAGGCCGATTGTTGGTAGGTGGCGCGTGCCCCGCTACTAGTGCCGCCCGCCGAAGAGCCAGAAAGGAGCGGGGACGAGCTCGCGCCCAGACTACTGGGCGATGGCAGCGAGAGCGCCTGAAGGGACCTCAACGGAGGCAATATGGGCACTATGCAGGATGGAGAAGAGAACCAAAAGGTGAGAATCAGTACCATCGAGAGTGTGAGTGTGTGTTGTGTGTGTGTGTGTGTGTGTGCTGGGGTGCGTACGTTGAGGCGTGTGCGGTTCCGAGGGTGGAAGATGGGCGGACATCTGCATCTGCAGGGCCGACGAGGTGGGAGGAGGGCTGGAGGCCGCGGCGGCCATGGTGTAGCCGCTTCGGTGGTGCGGGTGCGGGTGCTGGTGCTGCTGGTGGTGCTGCATCGTCGATAGCGGAGAGTTGGCCGACGACGGTGGCGAATCCACCACGGCTGACTGCATCATCGTGTGCGCGTGCTGGTGCGGGTCGGCGTACTGCCCGTAGTGTGGCTGCTGGTAGTGCTGCATGTGTTGCTGTTGGTGGTAGGCCTGCTGCTGCTGGTGGTGGTGGGGCTGAGAGTGGTGCATGGCCGCGCTGGCGCGTGCGAGGCTCAGCATGGCGTCGGCGTCCCTGCCGCTCTGATGGAGCATGTGCTGCTGCTGTTGATGGTGGTGCTGCATGTGCTGCTGCTGCTGCTGTGGTTGCTGCTGAAGGTGGTGCGGAAGGTCGTGCTGCATCTGATGGTGGTGGTGCATCTCGTAGGCTGCGTGCGGCTGCAGGTGCTGCTGGTCCATCGGCATGCCGAGGTGGTGCGCCGACGAGGCCGTTGTCGAAGTCGACGTCGCGGTTGGGCTCCCGAGCGCCTTGCGCGTGTGTTGTTGCGATGATGACGAAGAAGACGCTGATGAAGCTGATGACGATGGCGGTAGCGGCTGGAAGGACTCGAGCTGGAGCTGGAGCACGCGGTTCTTCTCCTCGAGCGCGGCGAGCTGGGCGTGGAGCTGGCGCGTGTAGTCGACCGCGCGCTCGAGGATGCGGATCTTGGAGGGCTTCGACTGCTTGCCGCTGGGCGGCAGGAGGTCGTTGAGCTCCGTCAGCTTGCCGTTGAACTTCTGCTTTCGTCGCCGCTCGGCCGCGTTGTGCAGCAGCTTCTCCTGGCCCTTCCTCTCAAACGGCCTGCACACAACACACGTAGTAGAGGAAATAAAGTCATTATTATATATACTATAATATAAAATTGATAAATATTATTGATTATTTAAATGGTTGCCGGCCAAGACGAAGAAAGATGAACGCGGTAGCGCGGTTTGCGGCGGTACCCAGGAGTTAAAATTAAAATAACAAATAAAAGATGTTTAAAATCAAAGGGGTGTCGGGCAGGCCGACCACTCGGGGCCAAGACAAGAAGAGACAAGAGGAGACAGGACGATGACATGAGGCGACGCACGAGAGATGCATCAAGGTGATCAAAAGAGGGGGGTGGATGGTGGGGTGGGTGGGTAGTACTCACTTCTTGCGTTCTGGTGGCGACGAGTCGACGGGGTCGTGCTTCTTGTGCCGCTTGCCGCTGCTGCCGGAGCCGAACGGCGAAGACGAGGACGATGCCGGCTGCTGGGGCGTGGTCGAGGCCGAAGATGAAGAGGGTGAGGAGGACATGGAGCTGTTCGTCATGTTCGCGCGGTGGGCCGCCGGCTGCTGGTGGTGGAGGTGATGGTTGTGGTCGGTATGCTGGTCGCCGCTGTAGTCTTGGTAGTGGACGAAATGGAGGGGCGTGCTGTTGCTCATGCTCTGGCTCATCAGCATGGAGGTGGCGAGACGGAGCGAAGAAGAGGGGAAAAGAAAAGAGAAAGAGCTCCCGGCCGGCCGACGGATGGTGGCACTTGAGTGGGTGGGGTGGCTCGACAAAGAAAGACGCACTCTCCTGCTCGGAGCAGGTGTGTGTTCTTATCGGTGGTGTTTGTTCAGCACAACCTGATGCGGGTGGTGTGAGGTTGGTTGGTTGCGGTGACCTAGCTGGTTTGAAAATAGGGTGATGGTCGGGGTACTTACCGAGACAGGTGGTAGTCAGGGCACTCGAAGAGAAGAAGAAAGGCCTTGGTTTTCCCTTGCCTTCTTCCGGGCGTGTGCTGGGGTTGCGATCGACTGCCGCTACGGGGGAAAGCGGGTGGAGTTGCGGTTGCCAGCGATGAGGGCCGGTCTACCCAGCCACCGGCCCTGGCGCCAGGCAGCGAGGAATCGTTGTAGAGCAACCATTCCGTCAGACCACGTGGGCTTTACCAAAAGCCCGCTTGCAATATTCAAATGATTTTCCATAAACCGACTTGAAACCGGCTACCAGATTGCACGTAAATCGCATCGGCCCGGATACACCAATCACCGACGAGGGCTTGCAAGTCGACTCGCCCATTGGCCACTTACTCCGTGTTTTTTGTCACCTGCCGTAATGGGCAATTTAAACTTTGGCCTCTCATTGGTGAGCTTTTTGCTGACACAAACTGGCAAGTCGTCGACACTTCAACGGTGTCGCCACCTCATTCGGCAAATTGCGGCGACAGGTTTCCACGTCATCGCGAAGCGCTTGAGGTTCTTGCGCACTGAAAATTTCTTTTCTCTTGGCTTTTCTCAGCAAGACCGGTAGCGAATTTCGCCGTCCGAAAATTGTGACGAGATGCAGAGCAGGGGTGCAGCATCTCCTCATCAATTGCACGCATTAAGGAA